GGGGGGGGGGGGGGGAGGGGGGGAGACACTTAACAGAAACCAAAGGTCCAAAGCACATCAAATCCATTTCATCCTTTCCGCGTACTCAAAACTGTTCAGACATGCCTACCTAAAACACTAACAAAAGATCTGAAATCATAATATAAGAAAAGCAATAATGACAAAAGCCATAACGGCAAGGAAAATAATCCTGGCAAAGTGATAATGACGATGAGAATAGTGACAAAACTAAGCAATTATGACAAAAATAATTGTGGCAAAAACATACGGTAAAATCATAATGACTAAAAACTCGTTAAAAGAAAAACTGACAATCACAAAATTTCATCAGTCCCCGTACCTACACAAAGTTTCAGGGGCGACGGTTCAATTATTTGGAAATAATTTCAAATAAACGACTACTGATGTCATCTAAATTTACGATTATAACAAATTACGATATCACGATAAAATTGCATGATATCAATATCTTATTATCTTTAGGGAACAATATTAAAAAAACACAAAAAACGATGAACGCTAAGGCCCTTTATCTAAGTTGTTTGGAGTCTTTGGATATCCAAGTGGAGATACACCCGTCTTAGGGACTCTCCACACCACTCTCCAAATGTGAAAAAAAGACAAAAATGTGACGGTGGATTTGGCCATGTTCTAGCGGGAAGTTCATGCTCATTTTGTACATTTCGAGAGTAGTGTAGCGGTGCCGTTATTCCTGTAGACCGGCGGTACGCTATTTTTAGCAACGACATTAATCGAGTTGAGATAACCAAGTCAAACCCGAACCGAGTCCGCAGCAGCAGTAATTTGGATATACATATCATATAACCCACGTGGGTTATCCTTTCGTGGTAATCCGCAAAAGGATCGCAACTACTTTGGTTGCGAAGCAACAGGAAGCTATTCTTAGCAACGACTACGATGGTAGGACCCCCGCCTTTTTTTTAATAGGACCCCCTTTTATGCACTAGTAGTCTAAAAAAGTAGTATGGATATCGATGTCCCCGTCAAGATAACCAACGTTACCCGTCGATGGCGTCCCGTAAGTTAAAAAGTTGCCGTTACCTTCGTTGCCACGAGGGTTCACCTTCCTTAGAGGTGTCTCGGAAATTGCCGACTCGACGAGTGTGTGTGCAGGGGGGGAGGGTGGGGAGGGTGGGGGGAGAGACAAAAGGAGGGAGCAGAACGGTCAACGTGTGAGGGGAACGAACCCAAGCGCCACAACTGACAGCGTCACCTCCTGGCCCTCCTCTGTCTATCCTAGATGGACGTTGAGATTACAGTCATGCAAAAGATCTCTGGGTGTTTCGGACCGTAGTTACCACGCATCTGGACGGAGATTGAGACGGTGAGCCCACATTCATCCAGAGGTCCTTTGCATGCTTCTGACCGCAATGACGGCCATGTGCAGCCGGCAAACAAGTCACAGAAGTGTGACTGCCGTCGGTCCGGGTCTTCTTCAGCTGTCCCCTCTCCAACTGCACCTTCTACCACCTTCTTTCCTCCGGCCGAGACAACGCAACCCCTTTCTACACCTCCCAATGGGCCAAGCAGACCCTAACGTCGATCCAGTCATAGGGCGTCGCAAAAATAACTCACCACATGCAGAAAAGACAGAGAATATGGCCGTGAATCTCCACATGTTCTAGCGGGAGATTCATTCCGATATTGTACATTCGCCGAGTAGTGCAGCGGCGCCCATAACGAGGGTGCATTATGTTCTCTCACCACAAGACAGCGCCTCTGTCCGCCATAACCACGTATCCCCGTGCTTCCTCGTTGACGTCACTACTTTGGTTAGCCATCATCCTTATTCGGAACTCTCACCGGATTCACACACTCCCGCATCCCTTCCTCTCCTTCACGTGTTCGTTTTTTTTTTTTTTCCGTCCCTTTAACTCGCCATCGTCTTATTGGTAACAGGCTGCCTCTTATATATTAGAGAAACTACGGCGCAATCAGGGTTCGAGTTTGTAATTGCACTTGAGGCAAAAGGGCCGGTAATGCTGAATGTATATGACCTACGTTTCGGGTCCGGTGCGGTCGGGTGGGGGTGTGTTGTATTAGCGGGATTGCCTGAAGTGCAATTACAAACTGTTTTCGTGACCGCGCCGAAGTTACCCCTATATTATAATAATAATAATAATAATAAGTATATTAAAGAGAACAAATCTGAGCTCACTGGCCATCGTTGGGTTCCGTGCTTTCACTCTGCCATCACTGACAATCCCCCCTAAGCCCCCCCCTTTAATAATCAATCCCCCTTGTCCCCCCCCTTCCCCCCACGCTACAATATAGGTCCTGTCTCTTATACACATCTAGATGTGTATAAGAGACAGGGCACACACAGAGAGAGAGAGAGAGAGAGAGAGAGAGAGAGAGAGAGAGAGAGAGAGAGAGAGAGAACATGTAAGTCTCCAACTTCTCTGCTGGCNTGCTTTTCCGTTGACGTCATCAGTCCTCGCTGGGCGCCGATGTGTCACTCTACACTACCCTCCTCCATGGCCACCATCCCCGTGATTTCGCGTTGACGTCACTGCTTCGGTTGCCGCATCAGGTACCTCCACATCACCGCATCCCTGCTGGCTGATGGCGTTGAATAATCGTTCGGGGCTTTAACGCTAAGGTCGTCACTTTCCTTTTGGGGAATCTCGGCTGCAACAGTGTCGTCCTCCGGACCAGAAGACGACAAAACCGTTTCCCAAGACCCATCTGCGGTGCGCTGGCTGCCCAAGCACAGACGACGACGAATCTTGTCAGCCTCTTGCTCTTCCTGATTCTCGAGGCCATGGCTGGATCCTCCTCCTCCTCCTCCTCCTCCTCCTCCTCCTGTCCTCGCGGTTCTCTCTTCGTCCTCACCCTCCGCGTCGACCTCCAGGTACAACCACCCACCGTCTCCGTAGTAGTCGGGAGTGAGCACGTGGCTCCATCGCTGGTTGGTCGAAGGAGGACCAGCCACCATCGCCGTCTTCGTCCTTCTACCTTCTCCACCCTCTCTTCTTTCTTGCCCTTGTCCTTGTCCTTTCCCATCCCCACCGATCATCCTCTTCTTCTCCGCATCCTCCCCATCCTGATCCGATAAACAGTTGTTGACTTCATCACAACCGGGTACCAACAAAAGAAGAAGATTCTCCGCAGCCATGGCGGGTCCTGAAGCTTGGCTATGGCGTCCGATGTTATGGCGGTGACCCGCTGCAGCTGTCTTTTTCTTCTTCATCATGCTCCTTATCTTCTTCGTCTTCTTCTTCTTCTTCTCATCGTTCAGCGCAACGGCGGCGATGCAAACTCCACCACACGATTGCGCGCAGATCGGACCAGTCTTGTAGGCCGACGACCATAGCTGCGTGTCATCTCCGTCACACGGTACTTGCTCAAGCAGCCCTACTGCGTTGGTGTTCATGATTTTCTTGAATCGTCGCTGACGTGGGGATAAAGCCTTATCCTTCTTTGGATAAGCTGCCACCCTAGACGGCTGGATGCACAGACCGGACAACCTGTTCTGCAGCAGTTTCCCTGTGATCGCTATGTGCCCTACCGGCTGGCGATCAGATGACGGCGAAAGGGAGGGAGAGGAGGGAGAAGAGAGAGAAGAGAAGGGAGAAGCGGACGGGGACGGAGGGAAGCAAACATTCTTCCCGTCAGGGAGGGAAGAGAAAGGGAGGGTAGAATTCATCTCGCCAATTCTCGAGCTAATGGTCTTCCCGCCCCTTCCGGAGCTACGGTTCACCATCCCACGTTCGCTAATGGCCCCGTCGTCTTCTTTACCCGGAGAAGAAGAAGGAGAAGAAGAAGAAGAAGACCGTGCTGACATCGCTGGCGATGGCGGAGAGGAAGACGAAGGCGAAGACCAAAAACACGAAGAGGAGGAATTGCAGTCTTCTCTCTGGCTCCCTGGAGAGTCCGAAAACACCAGATCCCTTCTTCTTACTACCTTTTCCGGTCCACTGAAACAATTCGGGGGAATAAGGTACGGCTTCAGCGCCCACGCGTCGGCCGTGGTCAGGATAGCTAACAGTAGAACCACTGCCATGTCGAACACAGCACAAGGAAGCCGGACAGGTAAACGGATCGAGTCCAGCTTCCAGCAACGAGCAATGTTACTCCTCAAGAGTGCTGTGACACTGTCCAGCTTGAAACGCTTCCTCATCAGATTCTTAATCCCTGCCCGACGGTCCAGGGACACCGCACGACAACCTGCCTCTCGACCGCCATCGCCAAATCTTGATGACGACGGAGAAGACGAGATGGTTACTCTATGCGCTGCGGTATGCGCTGCGGTATGCGCTGCAGTATGCACTCCCTGATTGGCAGAACTCCCACCACACATTCCTCTCCCTCTCCCCCTCACACCTCCCTCGTCACTGATTATGCACTCCACATGTCGTACAACCACGACGTCTACGTTACCTACAGTCCCGACGTCCTGGTCACGCACAGTCCCGACGTCCTGACGCGTACAGTCCCGACGTCCTCGTGAAGTCAGTCTGACGTCCACCTCAACCACAGTCCCGACGTCCACGTCAAGCACAGTCCCGACGTCCTCGTCAAGCACAGTCCCGGCGTCCACGACAAGTACTGTCCCGACGGACGTCCTCGTCACGCACACAGTAATGACGCGTAGTAGTCGTGCAAACCAAGATGACGTGTATCCAGGTCGGGATCGGGAGAACAACCGTTCTAAAGAGTGGCCACTGGCCTTGCACAGTGCCGAGCGAACGATGAATCACTTCGCTCCAGGTGAGCTTCAGCTTCAGCTCTCGTCGACGTGACGACGATCACGTTCGGGTTCACTCCTCCCACACAGCGATGACGAGGAATGCTAGAACAAGCTAGCTGACTTGTTGCCACGTGGATCGCCACAGCTCGGAAATTGGGAAATAGCCTGGAGGTTGCGTTTTGCATGCAGCATGCAATCACAAGCAAGCAAGGGGACGATGAAGGGCTTGTTCGAAGTCAGTCAACCTACTCAACAACGTTTTAAAATGTGATCTAGTGAAGACGACGATTCGCTGGCACGCACGATGAGCGCTATTTTTGGACATCAGTAGGCGCGACACCTTATTCCACATATCCACAAAAAAGCTTATCCACAAAAGCTTAAATATAGTAATCCAGCATGGATGTTTCTCCTTCCCACAGGCCGGATTGCAATGAACTCAGCTGACTCTGCGTCAGAGGCTTTCATCAACCCTGGTCAGCCTTTTTCCTCCTCAGAGTGGGAGGCTCATTAGACTGCCTGGCCGGACAACTCCTCGTCTCGCGTGAGATTTTCCTGAATCGCATGGCACGTGGCACGGTGGCACTAGCGTGTTCAAAAATCCCCGGCCTCGTCGCGCAAATGATGCTGCAGTCTTAGCCAATCCTCGCCCACGTGGCCTCGTCTGCCCCCAGGCTGCCGTTTTATCCGATTCTTGCCCACGTGGTCCTAGATTGGATTCCACAGCACAGTGGAGTGGTTGTGACGTTTCAGAAAGCTGCTCCAGCCGTCACTCACAGTTCTACCAACCTCCGCTCAGAACCCTCTCTCTCTTCCCCTAACTCTACTTTCTCACTGTTTCTCGATAAGCACAACTCTCTCTCTCTCTCTCTCTCTCTCTCTCTCTCTCTCTCTCTCTCTCTCTCTCTCTCGCTCGCTCGCTCGCTCGCTCGCTCGCAATACAATACGGTTAAGGGTACAGCTGTCGCGATTCAGTTCATCACGTTGTAGCTGTGCCGATGGCCAGGATCACCTTGAAAGAACTCTCTCTCTCTCTCATCTTTTTCCTTAGGCTCTCGTGAAATTTGGTTGATGGCTGCCTCCCTCAACGATTCCCTTTTTCCTCCTCCCCCCCCCCCCCCCCCGTCCAAACTCTACGTCCTCCTTCGCTCCCCTCCCCGCCAAATTCCAGATAAAGTATAAATCGGCAAAACGAGGCTTCTTATCCGGTTCGTATTCACGTGACTTCTTACCCACTACTTGTCCAGCTCTGTCTGCTCACAGCAATCCTTTGCTGCTCATAGTCTCCCTCTCTCTCACACGTCTCCGCAGCTCACTGACGAAAGTCCATCATTTTTCCTTTTTCAGCCTCCACCTCCACGTGGTTCTTCGCTTAGTGTTGCGAGCCCACAGTTCGGCTGAATGGATATTAAGTAGAGTAGCTAAGTTGATATGGATTTCAACATGTGCATTTCAACGTGGCCACGACCTACGTTGGTGGGTGTCTACCGTTGACGCATTGCGGCCTATTTATAGCTGAGAATCAATATATCCATATATTCATATATTCATATCTCTATATTAGTTGCTGATGATCCGTCGGCTTGTCTACAAGTCACATCAGAGATTCCGAGATTCTCTCTTCCCGCCTTTTCCACCCTCGATTTGGCCGGTCCGCGTCCCTTCCCGCCTTTTCTTCGCTCGTTTTGACAGGTCGTAGTCCTCTGCCACAATCGGCCTATCTACATGGAAAATCCGAGATTCTCCGTTCCCGCCTTTTTCTAGGCTGGATTTGACCGGTCAAAGACATTTGCCAGAGGTGCTTGCTTTTTCTTTTTTTGGTCCTTTTTTTTTTCCTTCTCATGCCACAGGCTGACGCTTCAGCAACGCCCTCGCCGCTTTTTTTTTTTGTTTTTCTGCCCGCTCGCCGCCTTTTGACAGGTCAGAGTCATCGGCCACAGTCGAGATTCTCCGTTCCCGCCTTTTCTAGGCTCGATTTTGCCACGGTTGTTTAAAACCGGTCAAATTCATTGGCCGCAGTTTTTTTTTTTTTTTTTTTGGGAATTCTTCCCCTTCTATATTCTTCTCGCAACTTCTTGCCTTTCACTACCTACCTACTCCTAAGGCTATCTATAGGGGACCCCTGCAAGCATGGCTACCTCTCACTGTGAAGGGGATATTGCATGTTGCCCCTTGCCCTAGTGGTTAAGGGTGTAGGGTTGGGGCCGCCAGTGGGGGTCTGGCTAACGCACGGAGACCTGCCAGTAGCAGCAGTGGCTATGGCCAACACTCTCCCACACACCACACACAACGCACTCGCGCTCGCACTCACACCCATGTTGGTCATAGACTGACATACCGCGCAGTCGCGGGCGCGCAGCCCTTAATGCACCCGGCAGCAGCCGAAGCGCAGAGGAGCAAGGGATGGTGGCAGCACTGCCCCGGGATGGAAAGGGAAGCAGGTATAGCCTCTATGCCTGGAAAATGGGCCGAGAAAATTATTTGCATGCCAATGACTGAGGTGGACTTGCGGCCATAACCAGCTACCGGAATGCACAAATTATGGACATTCCCAGGAAAAATTACGGCCATACCCGGGACTGAGGTGAACCGGCCAAATTATGCCAAATTATGCATATACCCTATCACCGGATAAATGAAATCATGGTCACACCCAGCAGTCATCGGGCCACAACGGTGGATTTGGTGAGCATGAGCATAATTTTGTGGTCGGGCATCCAAGGCCTGCCAGTTGGTGTGGGGAAATGCGCAACTTTGCCAGCCCGGCACAAGCATAATTTTGTGGTCCGGAACTGAGGGCCTGCGGGAGTGGGTAGGCTTACAGGGTAGTATGCAGAGTTGAAGGAGTACGGGCATAGATGCAAGTTGGCTCTGGGACTGGGTATAGCGGGTATTCCCATCTTTAAGTGGGGCACAGGTGCAATTTTGTCTAAGAAAAAAAAAAAAAAGTGAAGAAAAGCATACCATAACAGATCCCCACTTGAACCACTGATGTATGATATTCTTTGTCAAAGAGAACTGCCCATGTCCTTCACCGGGCAGTCGTGTACGAGGATATATATACATATACATATACAACGATCTATATATATATGACTATATATATACAACGTAAGCTACGTGTGAAGCCGGTGATCTGCAAATGTCTTCAAATGGTGTGCTGGGGATTTTGGCTTGGATAATAGTTGGATTTCATTCATCAGGAAGATGCATTTGAGTGATGGATAAGAACTCATCACACAACGTCCTTCGGGAAAGCATGGCCCCTGCGCAAGAATGACATGCATACATTGAGAAATGGTCCAAAAAAAAAAAAAAAAAAAAAAAACCTCATCACACAACTATGACCAAGAAAATTGGTAGACTTTACTCACACTAACCCTGCAAGTTTCTTCGCGGGGGGAGGTTTTATGACTTCTCCCATGAAGATGGATCTTACTTGATCGAGGGGCAGAATCAGCAACATGATGATGGATTGCAATTGAACGAGATACATGATGTTTGACAAGAGGAACATTGGTGGCGGAAGAAGATGGGAGGGAGAGGAAGATTGACGGCGGGAGGAGGGATCACAAGTCGGCAATGGGCGAAGAGAAAAGGGAGGAGAAAAGGGAGGAGAAAAGGGAGGAGAAAAGCGTGGGCGGTGTGATTGGCTGCCGTGAGTGGGTTGTGGAGCAAGAGGTAGGAGTGGTTCCAGCAGGTGCTGCTCCCCACCAATAGATGGAGCCTCTCCGACGCTGCTAGTCGTGTCTGCTCCTATCAGCACCCCTAGCAGACGATCGGGTTGTTTCGGGAAAAAAAAAAAGGAGTGGTGGAATGATAGTGTTAGGAGAGGTGAGGTGCTCTTGATTGGAGTTAAAAGGGCAATGGTGAAGGGTAATGAACAGTTTCTTTCGAGCTACAATATAGGTCAGTGTCGGACTCGTGAACATGACCGGTTGTTCATTTGGTGTTTTTTTTTTTTAACGGCGGTTCACGGTGAACGGGCCTGCCATGAAAGAGTGGTGATTTTTTTTTATTTTTTTTTTCGGGGGGGGGGGGGGTGGGGGAGGGGCTCACTCAGCTACAGTAGCCTCAAGCCCCACAGCGTGATGACATTGAAAAAATAAAAAAAAAATCGAAATAACCTACAACATAACAAACGAAAATGCTTATTTTGGCTGGTTGCATTTTTTTTTTTCGTTTTTAGTTTAAAAAAATATTATTCGTGAAAAAAATTGAAACAGCCGTACCATCTACAACAGTGGTCACTACAGTCCCGCTGTCCAGTCAGGCCCAGGCTAGTGTGCAACAGCCTGTTTCAGTGGCTATGCAGCCGCTGCATCAAGCACCTGGGCCCATGCAACCGATGCAGTGGATGCCCAAGATACCTCTAATGAGTCCCAAGCCTTTCTCTGGAGACAAGAAGAAGGAGGAAGACTTGGACACCTGGGTGAGGACTGTGCCTACTAATGTGAGGCACAAGCTCACAAGGCCAGAACAGGAAGTTGTAGTGGCTGCCTCCTTCTTAGAAGGATCAGCAGCCCGCTGGTTAAATGGCTTGCTGCAGCAACAGGGCTACGGCCAGGATTTCGATGCCTGGGATCAGTCTCAGACATTGGAACAGTTCGTAAGGTCTGTGTACAACAGGTGGAATGACCCGCAAGGGGCTCAAAAGGCCACCAATGCTATCAACAACCTTTGTCCCCGTAGGTTCAAGGATGTTAG